ATATATATATATATATATATATATATATATATATATACATATAAAAGCATTCAACATCAAATTGCATGCCTAGTGTCTTTCTCCTCATTTGCTGGTTTTGTTTGTTCGCTATCCTTTTCTGGTTCAGTTCTTTCTTTGATCTCACGATCAACTCTAGTTCGTAGTTCCCTACTGTTTTGTCGATCATGTTCTGTTCTATCCCTAAGATGTCTTGTTGGAGTTTTATTAGGTGGATGATTTTCACGTGATTTTAAGGGCATACGGTCTCGAACATCGCGTTTTCTACCAGGGACATCATCTACCATCTCTTTATCCGAGGAAGAGGGATGTTGTTGAAACATCGGATATCCTTTTAAAGTTTGTGTTCCTGTTAATTTTAATAAACACTTGAAAAATACAGTTATAAAAATATATATTGAAATATGTTTTAATAAAATATATAAAAATAACTCGAACTACAGCTTCTACTTCATTATCTACTTCTAAATATAAGCAACATTGATACAACTGTATACATAAAGCATTAGTAGTTAAAGATTTACTAGGATTTTATTCTGATATTCACTAGTGTTGAAAATCTATAGTACACATAATTTATACCATAAATTTTCAGTATTGGCAATGAATATCAGAACAGCCTATTTCCCATCATAATTGGTGTTTTCTCTTCATCTAGATGTTAAATATACTTGATCTATTGTACCTAGAATCCAGCTTGTATTAAGATTGTCATAAGTCTGCATTCTATTACGTGTACTGCGACGTACACTTAGATTGTTTCTAGTTATGTGGGAATTAGAACCAGAATGTGACCTCAGCTTGCGCAGGCTCTTAGGCCGCCTGACATTCGAGTCCAAGCTATGGTTGCGAGGAGAAAATATCTCTTCCTCGGTATCCATTGAATCCAATGCAGCGTCATCATCTAACATTATCTATGAAATAATGTTTCTACAATGTATACAGATATAAATCACACATTACATACTTGTGTTTTTAAACACATTTAAATATGCATAGAAATCAATAAGCAATATGTACATAAAATTCTGCGTAAACACCCAAAATAACAGAAGAATCTTAATTCTTACTCATCTTTAGTCCTAATCTTTATTTTTAAGAGAACACAGCACAACATAGATTTCATCAAAACATTCCAAAAAAACGGTATGAAAAATCTTAAACACATCACTGCAAACCCCGAATTACAATTTTATCCAACTAAAATGCATCGTGACACACCTAAGCAAGAAAATAAGCGGAAAACTTGTTCCAACAATAAACAACAAACAGAACGGTACAAATATGATCCCCTCTCTCTTTCTCTCTTTCTTTCCCGTAGCTTTTATATTTCTGGCAATAATATCGCTTTGTTTTTACAATTTTTTCTAAAGATTACCTTCATCTGGCCAATTCTTGTTGCCGATAGGTGAGAAAAACGTTAAAATCGCGAATGTCCGTCATATGCGTGGGATAATACGGAGTTGCATTCGCAATCACAGGAAACTGTCCTAACTATGGAAGAGCGCGAGCAAGCTGGTCACGGATCGTCTCCTTTGTGTCGAGACAATGCTCGATCAAACTCGTTTCTTTCTGAGCGCCAGGTAGAAACACGCGGTCGATGTTACTGTCCACCGAACGGCATCAGAGGACCAAGACGACACGATTCCCAATCGAGTTCAATTGCAAAACCCGTATTATCTACATACCCTACTCAGCGCACACAGCCACTCGTCACGCACATACACATGCGCATCATACGTACGCATGCATGATACGTGACATATGTATGCACATAACATTCCATTTCCAGTTTGTGCCTTCGATCTTAACCCTAAAATTCTAAAATTCAGCCAATAGAATACAAATTTCGGTTAGGACTGACAATTTTATTGGCTGAATTTTAGGATCTTAGAGAATTAAAGGCTGCAGCACACACTTTTGCATGATGCTGGCCCCACACCTCACTTTATCCCGGACCTACAGCCCATTCTACATTGGTCGCGTTCAGTGGACTCGACAGTTGAGTGAGCGCTCGCTATTATTGGTGTATTCTTTTAGGTTATCCAATCAGATTTTTTAATCTAGAATCATTCAACTGTTGAGTCCGCTGAACGCGCCCATTGGCTGCGTTCAGCAGAAAAAGCAGCTTTGCAACTGTTGTAAAATTCTTAAATATGATTGGCTTATACTTTAGATCTAATGAGGAAATAAGGGCAAGACCAATCATATTAAAGAATTTTACAGCAAAGCTGCTTTCCCTGCTGAACGTAGCCATTGGTCGTATCGTAGATATCGCAGGTCACTAATTTGTTGCAACAGCCAATCCGATGTGTCAATTTAAAAGTCTCACGACACTTTTACGATGCAACAAGCATCAAGCAGTGTAGCAGCAACCAACCAGCGTAGCGATATTTGTTACGCTACTTAAATAATATTGCCGTTAGTTGGTTGCTGCTCTGCTGCTTAAAATGAAATCGCATTTTTTGTATTCTAAATTGTTTTATTACCTAATATTTACTTAAAAATAAAATTATCTAGATAAAATTTTTTTTTATTTTATCTTTCGATTTAGATTAATGTAAAATTAATCATCTTTATCTTATCTAAGATACATTTATCTTATCTATATTTGAGATAATTTTTAATTATCTAAGCGCAACTGCAGTGATTATAATATTATATTTGCTATTTCACCATGTATTTCTTTTTTATTTCTCTTCCTTCTATTTATTTATTAAAAAATTATAACAATTTTAAATTTAAAATAAATAAAACGGAAAATGATAACAAACTTTTTTTTTTATTTGATCCTTCTACTTCTACATTTATATTAATTTAGAATCTTACCTTTTTATTTATTTTACCTTATCAATTTTGATTTATACTCTCTCGATTTATTTTCTTTTAAAAATAAATTCAAAATTGTTATATGTAAAATTTTTAACGGAACTGGACTTTAATCAAGATTTAAATTGTTAAAAGTACACACGCGAATGAGAGAGAGAGAGAGAGAGAGAGAGAGAGAGAGAGAGAGAGAGAGAGAGAGAGAGAGAGACTTCCGATAATTTTTTATCAACAAAACTATTTGAGTAACTATGTTATTAAGTTTTTTTAACGCGTGAGAGAGAAGAAAGATTATTAATAGATTATATAAGGTAATATGATCAATGATATTGTAAAAACATATAATGGATATATATAATTATTCAGCAGAAAAAGTACTTTTGCAATTATAAAATACTTTAACATAATATAAAAATTTTACTTTTTATAGTTTCTTGTTGAATCTGAATACAAACATCTGCAATCATACAGAAAAATATTTTATAACGGCAATTGCAGGATTGCATTTTTTGCTGAATGCCTATATCAACTTCGCTGTGATATAATCGTCGATTAAATGTTATTACCAAGTAATTGTCATAAAACTGGATTTAATCGTATGTTTTATACATTTTACGTCGGTAGTTAATAACGGATGTTATTAAACCTGATATTAATGATAAATGGAGTGATGTGTAAACGCAGTCATATTACTGAGCACTGAGTATTTTGAGGCACTTTATTTGTACACCGGCTTCGTAGTGTTGTAGTGTAGTAGTACAGTGTAGTGCTGAGTAGTGCTGTAGTAGGTACAATAGTGCCTCAAAATACTCTTAGTACTCAATAGTACTTTTCTACAAGAGGTGGAGCAAATTTTTAAATTTATTGTGATTGATTGATCAATCGTATATTGTGCATATAAATGTAATTTCGTTCCGTAAAGGCTACATTTTTGCGCATAGTTAGAGTAATCAGACGTCCGATTTTTCTCAGACTTTTGTACTCTTTCTTTTTAAAGCATTCGAGTCCAATGTCCGAAGTTTTCAGCATATCCGGGAGCATAATTCTTTTTGGTATAATATGATATTTTAAGAAAGAGAGATCAAGAGGATCGGGAATTATTATAAGCTTTCATTGTACATTTTAAAATAATATAGTGATCACTAGATTAATTACTATATATATTTATCTATGATAAAATTTGAAAATTTTTCAATGAAAGAATATTATAAGTATTATTATTTTATATTAAAGAGCCGTTCTTTTTGTTAATACTATAAATACATAATATTTTCATGTTTTTATATATAGAATTTTTTAATGTATTCATTTTTTTCTTTTACTTTTTGAGTTCAAATAAATACAACTTTTTGTACTACAATTTAAAATGTCATATCTTTTGTCCTACTTTTTTTGTACTACTTTAACATTAGGATTGTCTACTTTGATTAAATCTAGTCACCATACTTATATCAGCAATTTATCAATCAATGAATTATAAAAAAAAACGTCATATGGATATTATATAACTAGTATTAATAAATTAAGGTGCGTGCGTGCGTGAGTGCGTGCGTGAGTGCGTGCGTTAAGTAGCGATAGCCAATGGCAAGGACTGTTCTATGTGAAAAGTGCGGTTCTTATTGGCTATCGCCACTTAACGACACCGACAACTGTCGGTAGACGTGTAAAAACAGTTACAGAATAATACCCGAGATCGTAATATTATGAAAGAGAATTTATATTGCCTGTTTTTTGTTTTTTACATCGCGATTGTATCTAATTTAGTGTGTTTGGAAAAATCCGGACTTTTCGTATTATTTTATCTGTAATACCGTGCGTTCCGAAACTCATCCTTCAGACATCTTTTGTATGTAACTGTTGATGTATGACAGCTCGATGTTTCTTGTATTGTAGATTACAACTCCGTCAGTGTGCGATGAATTACGAAATTGAATTTTCAACACGATAGACACGATGATCCTGATTCCAATGATTTTATTTTAAAATAATGCTATCACAATACTCCACGAAGATGAGGTTGGCATGCCGCTTTGCGGAACAATTTAAAACAATTCAGATTTACACCGAATTGATTGCCTGTGTGTAAACATAGAAAGAACTTTAATGAATAGAAGTAATAATCTTGACGGAAATAAATTTGGAATTTAAATGAATGCTGTAATCGTGCTAGATATATTTATATATGCGTATATAAATGTAAAAAGATCCTTAGTATTGGTATCATAATGATGATCAGTATACAAGTGCTTCCAGCAAAAACATAAACGTATCAATCATTCTATAAATTACTTTCCTGCGTCTTCTTTTTATATTGGTGCAAACATGTTTTCAATTGTGTACAACTTGTGGTTAATGGTTGAAGATGTTATAGGTAACATTATATTGTAGTAAATATTGTATTATAATATATAAGTCTTGATACATATATTGCTATTAGAATTACATATCGCTATCTTAACAATTATATTACCTATTATACCTATTGTGATATTTAAATAAATTGCTCTCTTAACAGTTCCATTACTTATTATAATCTTTAAAAAAAATTGATAAGATTGCATGTTTAGATGCTTCTTGTTTGCATAAGTAGAGATTAGATTTTTTTTTTTGTAATTTCTATATTAAAGTAGTTGAGTGTATATTTTTTGAAAGATACAGTTTAATGGTTGTTAAAGAATATACTTTGTATTATTTTCAGTTCAGTACATTGACTTGGATTTTACATTATGGCTGACATGGCTCTTAATGCCACTACTCATAACATTTCTACTCCCGCTTGTAATTGCGCTGCTACTGTACTTAACTGCATTAATGTTGTACATCTATAAGTTACACAGGTTTGGAAGGAGTAAAACTTATACACTCATACATATATTGATACAACATAATTTATTAATATTAACTGTAACAAATATCACATTTGTATAAAGCCAGTTATTATAACAACATAAATTCACTTTTAGAAGCGATGTGTGAAGAATAATAGCTTTTAACATATGTCTCAATCTTTAATGTATTCTTTTTGGAAAATCATTTGTGTTTGTAATTATTTCCATATTTATATACATATATATACATAATAGAAATATTTTCTTTCAGGGTTAGATTAAGAAATGCTTATGGTACTGCATGGCGAGATACAGCTGTTCATATGGTCGCAGCTGTCTGGGATGCACATGGTTGGATTTGGCATGGTAGGCTTCAATTTAATAATCTATAAAACTCACCATTAGATTGCATTTAAATTGAGCTATATAAATTTTTAGTACAACATTTATTCATTAATATGAATATTCATTAATATAAATAACATGTATAATTCTTTTACAGGCTATGAAATTGTGGGCTTAGAGAATATTCCACAAGACAAACCAGTATTATTTATATATTATCATGGAGCTCTCCCAGTCGATATATATTATTTCGCATCTAAAGTATTTCTATATAATTCAAAACTAATCCGTCTAGTAGTAGACCGATTTCTCTTCAAGATCCCTGGATGGTCCATATTTGCTGACGTACTGAAAATTATACCTGGTACTGTTCAGTCGTGTTCTGCTATTTTAAAAGAAGGGAATATGCTTGCTATTGCTCCAGGTGGTGTGTATGAGGCTCTTTTTGGAGATTCCTATTATGAACTTATGTGGAAAAAAAGAATGGGTTTCGCAAAGGTTGCTTTGGATGCAAAAGTGGTACGTTTCTTCAAAAATTTTATATATTATTTTATTTAGATCTATTTCAACAGTTGTTTCTCATTATTAGAGCATAGTTCCATTTTTTACGAAAAATCTCAGAGAATCATTTAGAGCAGTAAGTTGGGGAAGAAAAATATGGTTGAAGATATATTCTAAGACAAAGCTTCCTCTTGTACCGATCTATGGTGGCTTTCCAGTAAAATTAGTAACATATATAGGCAAGCCTATTCCATATGATGAGAATCTTACACCCGAAGAATTGCAGATAAAGGTAAATAGCATTACAAAGGAGCATAAAACAAATATAATTCCAGATAACATTCGAAAGGATTTTACAACATATTTTCAGGTTGCTGATAGTCTTAAAGAATTAATAAAAAAACATCAGAAAGTACCTGGTAACATTACACGGGCTTTAATGGAAAGAATACGTAATACAGACAGACATAAGGATTAACAACAATCGCTTTGATGTACTTAAGATTAACAAGAACAATACTTTTAGAAGTCATTTTAATTTGATTAAATTCTCTTTTTAGGTAATAGCATAAAAAAAGTATGTAATAAAAATGTTCCAATTCATACGTTTTTATTATTCATACAATATAAATAAGTATATTTATTTTTACATATTTGTACTTAAATATATTTGATTTTTATGTAAAAAGTAATTTATAAATATTTTTTACAAAAATGTACACAATTTAATGCAAGAAAATGCCATGTAATATAAAGAATAATTATCATTAATATGTTAAATATGTATAATAATTATATTATTATTAATATGTTAAATAATATGAAAACGTATAAATGTGATTAATAATTATGTCCTTTTCTGTGCTCTATTGTCTCATACGTTTCCTATTTTATTAAAATTGTTGTATATATTATAATTAATTTTGTAGGAAAAAGGATATACAGAAAAGGATTGCAATAAATGATGAATCTATTCTGAATAAAAAAAATATATAATTCCAATAAATTACTTATTGTTATCCCTCTTTTTTTTTTTGTTTTATACGGTTTATATTATTATGAGCAATCATTGTCTTAATTGTCTTGTAATCGTCTATAGGTAAGGGCTATTTTCAATAAATGACTAATCGTCTTTAGGACCCCTTAACTATTCGACAAATATAAAGAGTTATAAAAACGATCATGTAACTATAAATGTAATTTTGTGTAACGATAATATATTCATGTAAGTAGAATGTGTAAGACAAATTAAATTACAAAATTTTTACAAGAAATGAACAAAGAACATATAATTGTATTTTAATTTAAACTAAAATTGTATCACAATATAACTTGACAATATGATTGCAGTAAAAATTGTCGTTATTTAAACATTTTAAAAATAGGACCAACTATTAAAAACAATTAACTCTGGGCAAATTTTCGTAACCACTAAAAGGCTCCGAGGATTTAATTAATATAAACTGAAGAACACTGGTATTATTGTTTTGGCTAAAAATAAATTAATAAGTATTTTATCTTTTTCAATCACTGTTTTATCAAAAAGATATACAGATTTGTACATAAATAAAGTAAAATTTTCATTAATTTATCTTTGGAACAGCCAAAACAGTTGATAAATGTCAACTATCTTGTCGATGGTAATATTAAAGAATTCTTCTATTTTTTAAATATAGCAATCAATTTTGATACATTGAGCGCGTTCAGCGGACTCAACAGAGCGCTCGCTGTTATTGGTGTATTCTTTTAGATCGTCCAATCAGAATTTTAGATTTAGAAGAATGTACCAATGGCTGCGTTCAGCAGCGAAAGCAGCTTTGCAACTGTTGCAAAATTCTTTAATATGATTGGTCCTGCTCTTACTTCCTCATTAGATCTAAATGTATAAGCCAATCATATTCAAGAATTTTACAGCAGAGTCGCAAAGCTGCCTTTTCTGCTGAACGCAGCCAATAACAGCGAGCGCTCCATGCTAATTACCGACGAGTGCCGACGAATCATGGCGAGAGCGTTAAGTTTCGGCGAGTTTCCGTCCTAGAAGGATCGCACAGCCAACGGCAGACGCTTGCGCTGTGCCGTTCCTCTGCGTTCCCCCGTGAAAGTACGGTTCTTTCATTCGTGACTGTCGCAAAGTGAGCGAACTTTTCCCCGTTTTTCGCGTACGGCGTCGTATTCGTACGTTCCACAAAAGTGTCACTTCTCGCGCCTGCAGACCGTTCCTCCTCCGTTGCGTCACCGTATTCAGCGGCGAGGCGAATCCAGGCGAATCAGTTGGGACAGTCCAGTGATCGAGCGAGCACCAGCCAGCGGCGTGTGAACTAAATTCCTCATCCCGTCCCAAATAACTTCATGCACCAACATGAGTGACTACTCAGCGGTCGCTCCGCCTCAAAATTTCAGCCAGAGCACCGCATTCGCGGCGGCACTACAACGCGCCAAGCAGGTAATCACGATTCCGCGAGGGACACGTCGACGACGGCGAATGGCGTGTAAGCGTGTGCGTCTACCGCGAGCGTCACGTTCCTCGCGGCAATTCGCGGCCGGTCCCGATGCGACTGTTATCTCTAATTATTTTATTGTATATGGTGAACCGATTTGGAAAAGTATCTATTAGCCTTTTGAAATCTAGATTGAATTTTATTTAAAAATTCTCTTAATATCAGAGCAAGATTAGTTTACGTTTTCGTTCAGTTTTCTCCGTTTTATAATAATAATTTAATTTGGCTCTTTCGAGGCTCGTATAATGTTTGTATAATACGATATTTGTACTTTCTCTACTATTTTATTTAACTGAAATATTTATATATGGATGTATGTAATAATTTTTTAGTTTGGAAAGTAAAACATTCTGTCCCGTGTTTACATCTTTTGTTTAACCTTTCCAGATTGCTGCGAAGATAAATCCTGGCGGTGCTCAAAATAATCAGGATACCAAATTAAAACGTCCTCTTGAAGATAGTTCGGGTAACATATATATTTAAAAATTATTGCTCTCTCTTCTATTGATCTTTATTGATGAAGTTAATAATTTATTTTTCGGATTTGTGTATATTCTGTATTGACATTGTGTTATGTTTTGTATTTTTAGAGCCAGAAGCAAAGAAAATGGCATCATTAGTAGCAGATCCTTTAATAGGTATTCGTGGAGGACCCGCAGGTAATTCCATTGGAGATTCAAGTGGTCAAGGACCTAGACCACCAGTTTCTTCCAATTTAGTAGGTGGTATATGCAATGAAGATATCAGAGTTCCAGACAAAATGGTTGGTTTAAGTAAGTAAAATTATAGAAAGGATTATTGATATTCTTTGTATGAATATTCTATAATATATTGCATTAAATCTGTTCTTATTTAAGAACCCACTGTTATGATATCCTTAATTTATTATTTATTATGGCATAATATATATGATAATATTACTATATATAAATTTGATAGTTTAAGTATTATTCTTATAATATTATCTACTTGTTGCGTTTTAGAATAGTTATGTATTTTTGTTGTATTAATTGATTCTTTTATACTTGTAATTGAAATGTAATATTAGAAATATTAGATATATAATTACGTTTAATAATAATATATTTACAGTAATTGGCAGAGGTGGAGAACAGATAACGAGATTGCAAAGCGAAACAGGATGTAAGATTCAAATGGCACCAGAAAGCGGTGGGCTACCTGAGCGTGTTTGCACGCTAACTGGTTCACGAGACGCTGTCAAGTAACTTGTTTTCCCTTCTTATTTCGTTAATTTTAACTATTTTGTATGCAATGCAATACCATGACTTTATATCACGATGAATGATAAGAATTTACCATACAATCATTGACAATGAATTTACTTCATTTTTCTGTTTGTGGACTTTGAATGCAATTACATTGTATTTTATTGAAATGGGATATGATTATCAGTTCAAGTTTGTAGACTCTGGGTTGTGAAAAAGCTTCTGTCAAAATGTTCTATAAACCAGCCAAGCAAATCTGCTATCCTCCTTAAATTTATATAGGGACATTTTATATTCTCTAATTTATTTAAGCGTAAATGTTTTTGCACCATACTCCCATCTTACCACTCCCAAAAAATGACTGAAAAATTGTTTAAATCAAACTGCGATGTTATGACAATGTATAAATATTGCACAATGCTTTATGATCCTATTATTAGATAATGTAATTGAGATATAATTCTAATAACAGCTTGTATATCAATATATTTTATATACGCTACAATTTCATCCTAACATGCATTTTACAAATGTAGGACATATGCTTTCGCATATAAATTATGAAATGTTTTACAGAATCTTTATTTAGCTCCTGGATGCCAATAGCGGGTTCAATACTTGACTTTCTATAAGCTTCAGAATTTCTGACTATTGAAAATTGATTAATGAGTTGACCTTTTGATTTAATAATTTTGTATTTACTAATAGTTTTTTGCTTTTAATAGGATATGGAGAAAGAGAAAATGGAAGGAAGGAGGATAGGATATGCATGGGGACGTGTTAATCACAACATGAAGAAAATTTTATTTATTTATTTGAAACTGTTTAAACCTATATATGGCATTTTAATACCTGTATATGGCATTTTGATACAAAATCTTTGAAACCTTTTATTATACCCTTTGAAGATATATTGATCATTAGAAAAAAAAACTATTACAAATGTGATATATAATTTTTATCTACAATAGATATTAGTGCATATTTATGTGTTGCAAACAAATTTTATTGTTGTTGATTAAATTTTTTGGACACATGTAAAACGGTTTAGTTGAAAAAATATTGTACTTTGGTATTTTATGTGTTTCAGTCGAGCAAAGGATCTTGTATTATCAATAGTAAATCAAAGAAGCAGAAGTGAGGGAATCAGTGATATGAATATGAGTGGTAGTGGTGGCGGCGGAATGATGGGACATCCAGGATTTGTTGAGATAATGATTCCAGGTCCTAAAGTTGGTTTGATAATTGGCAAAGGAGGAGAAACCATAAAACAACTTCAAGAGAAATCTGGAGCTAAAATGGTTGTTATTCAGGAAGGGCCATCTCAGGAACAAGAAAAACCTTTAAGGTAAAACGCAAATGTTTTCTCTGCATATATACATATATATTATTCCTCTTGATATATCAAGGTAATACTCCATTATTTAAAACTGATATATTCTTTCTGTAGAATAACAGGAGATCCTCAAAAAGTTGAATATGCAAAACAATTAGTGTATGAATTAATAGCTGAAAAAGAAATACAAATGTTTCATAGAGGAGGAAGAGGAGGTGGTGCTACTGACAGAACAGGAAATTATTCTAATGATAGTGGTTTTAATCATGGTCCTGCAAATAGTGATGGAGTAGAGGTTAATAATAATTTTTGTTATGTCACAAACAAATGTAAAAATGTTTGTTGGCTGAGAATGTAACCATAAAGAGAAAGAAATTGAGAAATACATCTTTTTATTCTTGAAATTTATAAAATTATCGTATAACATAGGTACTAGTTCCAAGAGCTGCAGTTGGTGTCGTAATTGGTAAAGGCGGAGATATGATAAAAAAAATACAAGCG